GAGTATGCGGTTTAGTTTTGCTCACCAGTCCACAGAAAGGATGTCCTTGAGCTGGAGAGAGTCCAGAGAAGAGCAACAGAAATAAGGGGCTGGAGGATCAAAGCTATGAGACAAGGTTGCTAAATTGAAATTTGCTCACGTTGGAAGTGAGGCGATTAATAGAGGACATGATTTTGATGTACAAAATGTTTAGTGGCGACGGCAACATCAGCAATAACCTTTTTACTGTTAACTTCCTAACAAAGACTAGAGGCCACCACCTAAAACTGGTGGAGAAAAGATTTAACCACAAAGGGCGTAGGGGCTTCTTTTCTGTCAGAGTGGAACTCTCTGCCACAAGCAATGGTATCTGCAGAGAATATTGATTTATTTAAAAATCAGATACCTTCCTAAGAGAACATAACATACAGGGGTACAGGTACTCTTAAAAACTACACAGGCACTCCTAGACACACATGCACGCACAACACACACAAAAGTTGAACTGGATGGACCTGTATCTTTATTCAACCTCAAACACTATGCGAGTATGTAAATGAGAAATATCTCCTCGGCTTCACTCACTCATCTTACCCCCGTGGACCTGTAAGGCACCCTGTAGCTATCCCAACACTCCACACAATCTGTGCCAAGTTGGGTGCCTACACAGAATCCAGTGCTGAAAAGCAACATTATAAGCCAGCCCTACTTCTTCTGACGTAATTCCTGAGGGGTCCAGGTACGGCCCCTGACGCTTCCGCCATGGGGCACCAATCTGGATACTGCATTTTTGCCGGAGGAGGCCCTGAGCAGTCACAGAAAACATGAATGGCTTAACGGTAAAATAACTACTTTTCTTATAAAGAGAAAAAAACATGTCTGTCATCTAGGGACACTGGAAAAAACTGGGGATCTGGTGTAGGGGGAATGATTATATAAGGATCCGGTCAGTTCTGGCCAGTGTCCAGGTATGGTACCACCATAACCCGTCCGTCCTGAGTGGCACTCTACGATCAAGAAAATGGGAAAGCGGCAGGATTCGAGCAAGGCCAAAATTGTAATGCGAGAGGACTGGGTCAGAGCAAATCCAAAACTGCAGCTCTTGTAAGATGTTAAAAACGGCAAATGTAGTAAGCGCACTACTCTGGTGGTGCAAGGTGCGTTTAAGTAACTAGTGGGTGGGGGCCTGCTGCCTCCTTTAGCAGGGCGAGGGACCCTGCGTATACACAAAGAAAAAAAACTGGATAGGAAGCGCTACAGCCCTATTTGGTATACATATAAACACAAGTATATATAACACAGTTAGGTGTGATGACCAACAAGTGGATAAAAAAAGGGGAATGGAAGGAATGACTCACTATTTGCTGAACGTTGGTGGTTAATAGGAGAGGCGTTGCCCTGTCCAGGGGGATGCCTGAGATCGATGGTAGTATTGTCTCTGTCTGGGGCTGGTACCAACTTAAATATATCCATTTATATAGAAGCGCCAGGTCTCAGCTGGCCAGGCTGAGCCTTACGGCTCTAGTGTGAGTCAGGCGGGGGAAAGCCGCTGAATCTCTGCAGCCGCGACTGACTGGGTCTTGCTGTCAGTGTGAGGCGGCGTTGGATGGCAGTGTGACCTCAATGAGGGGCTGGGAGAGAACCGTCCAACGGCTACGTGTTTCGAGGCCGGTGCCTCTTTCTCAAGCCGGAGTGAAAAGCCAAGAGCGGGCGGGAAACGGGGAGACTCATTTAAATGTGACAAGTGGGTGGGGCCACCTTTCGTACGGACCTTCGGTTGGTGGAACAATGGGGGGTGGGGGGGGATGCTGCTTCAAGCTGGTGTTCGTAAGACCGCTCTTACAGGGACAGGACATAATGGGTATAAATGGCTTATCACCTCATGTTGGCCTTAATAACTTGTCAATTTAAAACGTAACATTTATTGGGAAGAATTAAAAGGGGACTGCATGTCTGTTCCATTAAACCTATGCGTTTAAAATTGAGAAGAATTCCTATGAACTCTTGTTGGATGTTTGTAAAGAAATTTAAACATAAATACTATTAGGACACATAAAAATAGGAATAAAAAAAAATAGGAATAAAAATGAATGTGGACCTAAATATATATGGGTAAAATATTAAAATACTTAAGAATAAAAAGTTCCTTATCTGGAAAAAAAAGTTTTCAAAAGAGAAGTCATTAATAGTAATTGTATAGATAAGAATGCCAATAAAATAATATTTTCACAGAACTATGATTTTGACACTGACATAAACATGTGCATACACACACACACAAACACACACACACACACACACACACACACACACACATACACACAGACATGCATTGGAGGCCAATATGCGCATATATGCACATGACACGACATGAACATATTGGGAGTCAATCAATGTAACTGGAGAGGACTACTGCTTATAAAATAGTATGTATTTTGATCTCCTCATTCAGACCGGTGGGTACTAATGTATTTAATTTGTAGATCCAAAAGGTTTCCCTCTTGCACAACAGGCGAAACCTTTCGGATGGTGTTAGTTTGGGCGATATGTGTTCAATGGTGTAGACGTGCAATGCTCGTGTATTTTTATAATGTTTCATAGTGAAATGTCGGGGAACACTGTGTTCTGTGTCACCTTTCTCAATAAAGCGTCTGTGCACACTGATTCTCTTCTGCAGAGGGCGCATAGTGCGTCCGACATAGATTAAACCACATGGACATGGGAGTCCGTATATCACATGATCGTGGGCACAGGTGATGAATTGGTTGATCTTGTAAATGTTGTGTAAATGATCATTGAACTCACTCTGTCCATGGTGGATGAACTGGCACGTTAACCATTTTGTTTTTTTGCACCTGAAGACACCAACTCTGTTGTCGAACAGGAAATAGTTTTGGGGTGCTTTGGGTTGTTTTAGTAGTTTGCTGGGTGCTACAAGATTCTTGATGTTTTTGTTTTTTATAAAGTTAATAGATGGTTTAGGAGGCAGCAGCGGGCCTAATTTGGGGTCCTTCAAGAGGATATGACAATTATTGTAGATCACTCTCTTGATAGCTTTATATTTATTGTTAAAGGTGGTGATGAACCTGGGTTCTTTTTTTGACTTTGAAGTCGGTCTTTCTTAGTGTTATTGGGTTCATCCGATGGGAGGTACTGTGTGTAAGCCTCCGTGATGAGGTCTGTGGGATAGGGTTTTCCAGAATTTTTTTTTGAGAGCAAGCGGCTCGAGGTGGTGTAGTCAGAATTCTTAGTGCAATTTCTTTTCAATCGGCAGAACTGACTTCTTGGTATGTTGTTTTTCCACCTTGGGTGGTGGCAGCTGTGGTAATGGAGGTATGAGTTGCCTCCTGAAGGCTTGACGTGGTTTCTAGTAATAAATGTTGTTCTCGATGGTTGTAAGTTCTAAATCAAGGAAGACCAACTCAGTGGGGCTGACGACATGGGTAAAGGAGAGGCCTAGGTTGTTCTTGTTGCAGTGGGATACGAATTCTGTAACTGTGTCTGGGGGTCTGTCCCAGATGATGACTATGTCGTCTATATATCTCCCATAATAAACTATCTTACTGGCGTGTGGATTATTCTTCCAGACATTGAATGCCTCCCAATACCCCATAGTTAAATTAGCGTAACTCGGGGCGTAATACTACCATCGATCTCAGGCTTCCCCCTGGACAGCGCAACGCCTCTCCTATTAACCACCAACGTATCAGCAAATAGCGAGTCATTCCTTCCATTCACCTTTTTTTATCCACTTGTTGGTCATCACACCTAACTGTGTTCTACAGTATATACTTGTGTTTATATGTATACCAAATAGGGCTGTAGGGCTTCCTATCCAGTTTTTTTCTTGTGAGATGTTACCAGTCTGCAGTGGGCAGGACCTTCCAAAAAGGGGACCAGGGAAGGAAACCCATGAACTGGCAACAGGGTCATGGGCGGCCAAGATTCATTGATGCACGTGGGGAGTGAAGGCTGGCCCTTGTAGTCTGATCAAATAGAAGAGTTATTGTAGTTCAAAGTGCTGAAAAAGTTAATGCTGGTACCAATAGAAAGGTGTCTGAACACACAGTGCTTCACAGTTTGTTGTATATGGGGCTGCGTAGCTGCAGACCAGTCAAGGGTGCCCATGCTGACCCATGCCCACCGCCAAAAGCACCTACAATGGGCACGTGAGCATCAGAACTGGATCACGGAGCAATGGAAGAAGGGGGCCTGGTCTGATGAATTACGTTTTCTTTTACACCATGTAGATGACTGGGTGCTTGTGTTGCTTATCTGGGGAAGAGATCGCACAAGGATGTACTGTGGGAGAAAGGCAAGCTGGTGGGGGCTGTGTGATGCTTTTGGCAATGTTCTCCTGGGAAACCTTGGGTCCTGCTTTGGGATTTATGTGGATGTTATGTTGAATTGCTTCTGACCGCTTGGTGCCAGATATCACACTATACCTTCAGAGGTCTAGTGGAGTCCATACCTTGATGGGCCAAAGCTTTTTCGGTGCCAAAAGGGGGACCTACTTAATATTCGGTGGCTGGTCATAATGTTATGGCTGATCGATGTATGACACATGTAATGGACCACAGCTGTACAGTTCATTTAGGTGACAGCTTTGCCTTACCCAGAAATTTTTTTTACACTACTTGTAACTCATTAATTTCAACATATAATATAAGACATTGGAAGAAAAAAGTGCTGTGAATGGATATAAACGATATCTCTGGACAGGCAATGATTGAAAGAAAATGCTAAATCAAATCAAACATGTTGTAATCTAAGTGTACAATCTACTTGAGATCTATCAACAAGATTGTGCAAGGGCCTGCCCTGACTGGATACTAATTTAATAGATTGTTCAGGTGGGTCCTCACATTACATACATTTGGTAAATCTAATGGGTCATATTTGTGAAAAGGGTGGAGATCAGGCATATGGCAGTGTTTTTTTGTTTTTGTTTTAAATTAAACTTGTCTCTAAAACTTTGCTATATAGTTTTTTGACCATTCATTTTATTCCTCTTATTTCAGGGAAGCATTGGGCATGGTATTGCATAAGGATTCTAAGTGGCACCAGCAATGGAAAGATTTCAAAGACAACAATGTGGTATTTAACAGTAGGTAGAAAACACAATTGTATGATACTTTGGAAGTTAGCTGTCAAAATATGATAAAATTTAATGTTTCTGTTTTGCACTTGCCTACATCTATTTGCAATGTTTTAAAATGTCCTATATCTCTTTGGGCTGGGTCCTCAGTTTATCACGTGAATCAAATTGTTGTATTCTAACCTGACTGCCTGCATTAGAGTGAATAATTTCCTATTTGACTCATTTGAGTTGAAAAGGGGTACACGTCAGGGGTGGCCATTGTTGCCCCTGCTGTTTGCTCTTGCTTTTTAAGTAATGGTATTGGCTATAAGGGTGGATCTGAAGATTTGGGGGATTCCATAGGGGAGGGGTGGAAAAGAAAATTGCTTTGTCCATGGATGACACTTTTTTTTTATTTTTTACACCACCTCACCCTTACATTTGTTATAATGGACTACAATTTCAATACATGTTAGTAAACTTAATGTGAGATTGTAGTCCATCACACGAGTGAGCTTGGAGCCGTGGCTACTGTACAACACACACAGGGACCACAGGGAACAGAAGTAGCTATCCTCCAGAAGGACAGTGTCAGCACAAATTCAGATAATTTGAGGCTCTACAGCAGAGTGATACACAAATTAGATACATTTTTGTTAATAGTTAAAGTATTTGTATGGGTTTTTAAGCTTTAACCTTTGAGTTTAGTGTCCCATTAAGTGACAGATGACCTCTCCCGTGCCGAGAGATAGTTTCTTGATAATTATACTTTTACACACTATACAAAGAGAATTCTCAACTCAACCGAGCTACACCTAAGTCACTGAGGCAGTGATCTTGCAGCTTCATGATCGATGCCCCTAAGCAAGCCTGGGGGATTGTACCTGGATACCCAAGATGCAGGGCCAGCATCAAATGTTGCTTTGGCATCTGCATTACAACCGTGCAGTTAGCTGCAGGGTGCCCTACAGGTCTAAGGCTGTGGTCCACCTGTCTGGTGGAGCCCTGTCCCTGAAGACCACTTCCATGGAGGAGGGAGGTATGCCCTCCAAAAGTGGGTGAAATGGGAGTCTACAAATCTAACCTGTGATGGATCTTAAAAGACCTGTGGTGTAGTGAGTTTGGGCTCGTCCCCCCTCCCCCATGGATGTCCCTGGACCTTTGGCTTTGTGCATGTAGGTCATTCCTAGCCAGAGAGCAGTGTGCGCGACTATGACACTTTAAATTATGTGTCACAGACATGGGGCTCCATGCTACACTTCTCAAAATGTGAAATGGTCTGTCGCAGTGGCCCTGCAACACATTTAGGAGGGATCAGCTCCACTTAGGAAACAAAATAACCAACTTGCTATCAGGCTTCAGCAGCCATTTTGAGCACATGCTCTTACAAGAGACACACACGGCCATCTGCTCCACATCTGGGCCCTGGGATTTAGCGGTGGAGGTTTGCATCCAGTTATCCAGCAGCCTTCAGCTGTGAGACAGAGGTTGTCTTCACTCTTTTGCTATGCAGCTAAGGTTGTGAGTACCCCTCAGAGTATCCCTTAACCATAATGGCAGACGTCAGGTACAAAGTAAATGGGACAAGGTAAGCGTCCTCATTTGGTGTTCCCCTACCGAGTGGCTTGCAGGCTTGGCTGTCGCAGAACCTTTGTTCCTGAATGAGGGGGAGGATAGCAAGGAAGAGGAGCTGGAGTCGTCTGAGTTGGAAGACTCCTTCAAGTTGGAAATCTAGTCGGCCATGATGTCTCCCAGGCTTAAAAAAACTGTTATATACTGCCATATATTTGCGATTTGGACTGGCACATGACCGTGGGCCGATCCGCACAAAAATATAATTCCTCCAGAAACTGGTGCACCTTCTGGTTGCTTTACACTACTACATAAATAGCCTGGTAGTGTCCCTGCCCCAAGTTTCTCACCTGGAGCTTGTCAGTCTACATGGATCAGGATCTTGTGGCTAAGATGCTAGTCTGTGGAGATGTTCTGCAAGAAACGGAATAGATGTTGACCTAACCATCTGGTTAGCCTTTGGGCACCTTTATTAAGAGAGTCACTGGCTGTAATAGTACCCTCTTACCTAGTGAGAAAATAAAAGATCCTGCGACGAAGTCGTCCCTCTCAGGCTTCCACTTTCAAGGCCATAGGCCGTACACTGCAAACAGTTCAATCGCAAGTCATGGATGCCCAAACTAGCAAAGTCTGGAACCGAGCCTGTCTCGCAGTGACGGGGCGCCCACACTACAAGTGGGGGGATGTCTGTCGGCCTTCTTTGCCACCCGTTTCATTCTTTGGAATCTCTCCTCTTCTCTGCAGAGGCTGAAGGATCTCTTTCAAATGATCCAGTTCTCTTGGGGAAACTCTTTCCAACTTGTTTGCAGTTACATAATCCAATGGGGGGGGTGTTCATACCTTCCTGAATCTGAAGGTTCTCAGCACTGTGTGTGCAAAAATTCCACATGAAATCATCTTGCTCTGTCATTGCATCGCTGCAACTATGGGAGTTCTTGGCATTGATATATATCACGGATGTTAACTTGCATGTCCCCATCTTCCCTTCTAATTGGCGGTTCCTGCACTTTGTTTTGGGACAGCACCATTTCCAGCTTGTGTGTCTTCTCCTTGGCCACTGCAACACAGGGATCCTCAGGCCTTTGCTGTAAATAATGTGCTAGTGACCTTGTGGGATCAGTTTTAGCTGATATATGCCTTCCCTCCAGCAGGGATTCTTCCTCAACTGCTCCGCAGGTTATAGGTGGTAGGTGTTTTGGTGATTTTCGTGGCGCCGAACTGGCCAAAAAAGAAGTTATATATTATCTTCTGACTTCTGGGAGATTCCCTGTGGGTACCTCCTGACCTCTTCAATCTTCTATATCAGGGGATGATCTACCATCTTGCTTCCTGGTTGTTGGCTTTGATGGCTTGTCTGTTGAAGTTTGGGTTCTGAGGGACCAGGGTCTGTCTTACTATGTTTATTCTACTATTTTGATAGCTAGGAATTGGACTTCTTGGGAATTTCTGTCATCTAACTTGGAAGGTCTACTTTGCTTAATGCCAGAAACAGGATTTATTTCTATCTTAGACAATGCTCTGTAGGAAAATCCTGTAATTTCAACAATCTGGTTTGTACCCCAGAATGAATAGAATTGCCATTTGAGATCTTCAAAGGTCAGATCTCAAATTGGGCTAGTCTTTTCCAAGGCCCCTGGCTGCTCACTCTAATCAAAAGAACATTTTTCATTGCAGTTTTTCTGAAGATCATTTTTCATGCAGTCTTTTTATTCATGCCTCGACACTTTTGCCTTCCATGACTGCCGCCATTGAGCAACTACAAGCTGTGGTTACAGCTCAACATTCTCACATCACTACCTTATACACTCGGACGACCTTGAGGATTGATTGATATCCACATTAGAGGTCTATCTCAAGCCACGGGGGATGCAAACCAGTGATCCTTGGTCACAGGGATCTTCAACATGCCACTGGGTATGCCAGTGACTAATCCTACTGAGATTTACAGAGTGCATAGTACTCCTGGCTTTCGCTGTCCTAATAATCCTCAACTGAGAGATGCCCTCTGTTGCTTGCATTACTTCACTCAGAAGTCAGACATCTTTGCCAAAGTGCAGTCTCATTGGCCTCTGGATTTTGACGGTGCTCAAGTGACTTTATTTCCTGATCTCTCTAAATGTATGCTTGGTAAGCGTAGAGCGCTCCCTCCCCTGACCAGAACTTTGCGAGACACCAGTATCCCTTACTGCTGGGGTTACCCGTTTGCTCTATCCGGACGTTGGAATGGTCGTGTGCACTTTTTTCGTTCGTCTGCAGATCTCCCAGCCTTTACAGCTGTGCTGGGCATCACTGTGACTGAATTGGAGCCGTGGCTGGATCCTGAGTTACAGCTTCGCAGAACACTTCCTCAGGATGAGTGGCAACAGGTCCCTCCGCGTCCACACCCGGAATGAGGGACCTCATCCAGACCAGTCAGCCAGTGATCCTGTTGACCATTCCGTGAGTGCATCCGTGTATGCCAGTGCTACTTTTGGTGCTCTCCTTCTTAGTTGCTACTTGTGACATTTCCCTCTCTTTGTCCTGGACCCTTCCCAGTACCATCCCTTCTGACTGCAGTTGTGCTGATCCTTTGTGTTCTTTTTTTTCTCTCCCCCTGCCTTGGTTGTATTGTCTCATTTTATATGCAGTCCTGTTGCTGAACGCCATAGACTGTCAACCTCCTTTTTTATTTTCCTTCCACTTTGTGTTTACTTTATTTTTCGCCGGACTTACTGAACGTGCACCTGATGCACAGGACATCACGTGCTATCCTTCGAGTGCTTTCTAGTATTTATAACAGCTTTTTGTATGTGGTGTTCGTTTTGATATCGTCATAGTTTGTACTAGGTACTCCTGTCTCTACTGGTCCCCTGGGTCCCCTGGGGCCTCTGGCGACCGCTTTTCCTAGGCGACTTGCATCCCTATTGGGATTGCTTTCTTGTGTCCCCCGGGGGTGGTGGTTGTTGGATGGTGCTTGGGGACCCTCACATGTTTAAAATCACTTGTCACTAGTCACTGCCTCTCATATTATTTATTGATTGCACCCTCCTTATTTTATGTTATGATACTTTATTATAAGATGGGACCTGCCTATTGTTCCTTTTTTTTTTGCCGATTTCCAACTGCTTCCTAGACACTTGGTATGTGTCCCTGTTGCACGCTTCATTGGAATGTGCTGACTCGCAGGTCAGGCTTGACTGAATACCTCTTATTTGCACATGCACAGCTTAGCTTGTTTTTTTTAGTCCTCAGGTTTTTGGTTCGCTGGGGTTCTCCACATCTTGTGCACCCCTTGTGTTATGGTGGTGTGGGATGGGGAGATATACTGGCACTGTAGGGAGCCCCCTCATGTTTGTACATTCTACTTTAGAGGCTGGGAATTGCGCATGCCCTTGATTACTGTTTTTTCTTTTCCCTCTTAGGTTCCCATGCCCCCCCCCGCCCCCCCCAGTTCCCCCTAGTTCGCACTTTGTTTC